TAAAGTAGGGTTAGGCTGTTTGAGATAAATAACCGAAAATTGATGGGTGAAACTTCTTACAGACTAAGGAAAACCTTTATAACAACTTCTATGTAGAACTTTGGAAGTTACTTTTAAATCAACTCGATGAATTTCACTGAATCTGTACTGAGCTATAGGGCAACATAATTGTCTATCACATTCATTTATCCTTTGCCTGAGGGGAGAGGTTGTGAAGATTTTAGTAATTTAGTAGTTGAATTCATGAGTCAATCAAAGCTAGACCACCATGAAAAATCTGGAAGCACTGAACGGCCGTTTCGTCCTAGTATGGGATTTCTCAGCAGTGATCATTCAAGATCTCACATATGACACTCGGACCAAACACCTTCAGTTTTGTGCACAAACGCTTAATCTCTAGACAATTGGGCCGACTGGCCATCATCAAACTGTGTTAATGTTTAACTTCAACCAATCTACGAAATTTCACCAACAATCTCTTATCTTCAAAGCTAAACTTATTGTAACTAATTGGAAAAAACCAGATTGTTCTATTATCCTGTGTACAGTTACTGTTGATGTATAATAAACATCTTTTAAAAACAAAGTATGAGTCGTATATTACTATTATGCAATTAAGTAATCTAAAAATTAAACATGTGAATGACTTAAGTAACATATCATCTAAAACCTTTTTACTAACTACGTTCACTTTGACAGTTTCAAAGTTTTCTAATGTGAGGACGGCCTACAGATGAACTGAAGGAAGCTCTAAGAACGTCAGAAAGTGTCAAAGATATTCCATTTAATCATTTTTTAGAGGAACATTCCAGAATATCGACGTGTAGCTTCCTTATTGGACAAAAGCTTGAATACTATTGTATGCGGATCAAATGACTATAATGGTGATTTCGCTTTTATTAAAAACTATAAATACCTGAGATTTTTGTACCATATTTGACACTGTTCTAAATCGTTTTCTGTCATTTTATTTGCGACTTGTAGGATTATAGTGTTCGATTGCTTAAGTTATACGTGGTATATCAAAGAATCTAAGCTCTAGAAATAACATCTATATCTCATCACCATCACCATTGAACATTGAAAACGATAAATGTGAAAAACATATTCAATCATCAATTCTATCAAAATAATAGAATTTAATCGTTTTGCCTAAATTTGAATAGAAGACAATCTTTCAATTTTCATCCAAATAAAATCTGTACGCAAACAACCAGATATGAAATTCACTTGATATTTTTGCTTGCTTGTATCTTCCCATTGCTAATTAGGACCGTAATTAAACAGTCTCTTGTTGGCATATGTGCATTCTGTGCGGACTGCCTCTATATATCCTTAAGTCACAAGCTTTTTAAGTAAAGACGAAAGTGTCTTGACAGTGGAATCCAGTTTGACGCGCGTTTCGTCTTATTCAGGACTTGTCAGATGGATGTACCTGCATCTCAGAGTTGATGTTCACTTCGGGACTCGAACACATTATCGTATGCTTCAAATGCCATCACATTATCTACTTAGCTACTAAGTCATGATAGCCACCTGCTTGAGCAATGGGGTGAAGTTTTAAATTCACTTTGTGTTGTTTTACTTGTATCTTCCCTTTGTTGTTTAAGACTGTAATTGATAAGTCTCTCACTCTCTCTCTTATTGGTATATATGCATACCTGATATTAGTATAACGAAAGTTCTTATTTTTATTGATTATTGATTGAAAAATCTGATAGTGACTATTAGTTGAACATAATGAATCTTTCTTCCAGATGTTTATGTTCTCATCTTATAAAATTAAATAATGATTATATATGAATATATAGGATAAATACTTTACTACTACTACTACTACTACTACTACTACTACTACTACTACTACTACTACTACCGCTAGTTTTAGTAGTACATAGGAATTAAGGCATATATTTTTCAATTATGTTTTATTATGATTAGATTTGTTGTTTTAAGTCCAACTTAATGATATCCACTACCGTCGTTATCAACATCGTCCTCCTTTTCCTTCTCCTTCTCCTCCTCCTCCTCCTCCTCATCATCATCATCATCATTGTCATCCTATAAATGTGTAATATATTTAGTGGGAATATTTACAAGGAATTTCCCATAATTTACCAACATAAGTGGTCATTGTCATATTGATAAATGAGAATTTCTCTCTCTCTCTCTTTCTCTCTTTATTCACTTATGAAATTGATAAATAAATAAAATCATATACAATCAATAAAGTAGCTAATTTAAAAAGTAGAACATTTTTCTCACAAACCATAGATTATTGTATCATTTCAGAAGAGTTGTGTGTGTGTGTGTGTGTGTGTGTGTGGATATTATAGTAGTTTTAATAGTTGAGATAATGAGTCAATCGAAGTTAGATTATCATGGAAAACCTGGAAGCAGTGGATGGCCATTTCGTTTTCCTATTGGAACTGTTAACAGTGAACACCCATGACTCCACACGCGGGACTCGTGAATTCAAATGTTAAAATATTACAATCTCCACATATCCTCATAACAATAAAAAACATGTACTTACTAAAAACTAGCTTCAAGTTGAATTTCTTAAAGTTCGAGTGATAAACTGTGACTAGTGGAGTCAAATCTGTATAGGGTGTAGACAATTATTTAACTGAGACAATTCATAAAGGGTTGCACAACATCAACACCAATCGATGTCAGCTTAGTGGTCTAAAGGTTAGGCATTCGTAAGCGAGCCTTTAGATCTTGTGTGCAGGTCTTACGTCCGTACTAGAACGAAATGGTTATCGAGTGATTTCAGTTTTTCAATCGTAGTCTAGCATAGATTGACTCATTAATTCAACTGTTAAAATGTTTTTCTTGTTAACATTTCGATCACAATCAGACACAAAATTAACAAGCCTTATTTTTCTATAAAGCTTCATTTCATGCCTCACCACTTTATCTAAGACATCATAAATACCTTTAAAGTGAATATCTCTCAAAGTTGTTAAAATTACCGGTTGACATTAATTCAATGCAAATACCAACAGTCAGCTTTCCTCCCATGTCGATTGTATGAAGAAAAAAACTTGCAGAATTAAACATTCCGAGAATAATTAATGATTTCAATTGTTGAAATCATGAGTCAATTGAAGCTAGAAAACCATGGAAAACTCGGAGGCACTGGACGGCCATTTCGTCCTATTGTGGGACTCAGCAGTGGGCATCCACGACCCCGCCCAGTGGGACTTGAACCCAGGACCTACTTGTCTCGCGCGCGAGTACATAACCACTAGACCATTGAGACCGCCGGCATTCAACAGTGTTACTGTCCAACTTCAACTAATCCATGAAATTGGGCCACATATCCACCATTGTCCTCAGTGAGTTACTATCTCACAACTGATCTCAACAATTTAAATTACTAAAATCTCCACAAAAACCCCCTTCTGAGAATGATCAATAGTTACTCATTCAATTTGTTAATCAAAGTAATTCCAACTTGATCTTATTATCTGGTTAATACTTGGTATGAACGAAGAATATTCTTTTCAATAAGAATATTCTTCGTTCATACAATTGTGTTTTAATATAATGGAAATTTTTCAGCGATTAATACTTCGTAGTTTACAGAGGATATAAATGGAGCCTACGTCAAGTAGGGTTTTCTGAAAATCCTCTACCATCAAAAACTGACGTTGACTGACTTAGAATACTGGCCATATTATGTAAATCGTTCAACAAGATACGATCACTACTGAATGACTAGACATTTGTCAATTCTCAATAATCAATTTAATTGTATATAGATTTGAATTGAATGAAAAGACACAACTACATTGAAGCTACACATACAATTTATGAACTAGAACCAATTAACAAGATACTTAAGACTATAGCAAATTTTCTACAATCAATTTTGATTAGGGTTACCTTTTGTCAAATTCTTTGTTATTCGGACGGTAACAATTCGTCTATTTCTTTGTACTATTATGATCAATATCATGTGAATTGGTTGAAGTTGGACATTAACACCGTTGGATGCTGGCAGTTCCAGTGGTCTAATGGTTAAGGGCTCGCGAGTGAGACTAATAGGTTCTGGGTTTGAATCTCATGGGGGGGCGGGATAATGAATGCGCGCTGCCAAGGAGGAGTCGCATACTAGGACGAAATGGCCGTCCAGTGCTTACAGGTTTTCCATTGTGGTCTAAATTCAATTGACAAAAGATTTCAACTATTGAAACTATCACGTCTATATAAACGTATACGGTTGATCACATGTGACAGCCTGCTCATATATATTTCTCTAGCTTAAATGTTGATCGCTTAAATATAGCTCGGTGAGTAATTCTTTTTCCCGTGTGTAACATGTTTGTAACTGTGAAAGATGGTTCTGATGTAAAAAATGAAATTGATTAGATTTGACATAGTGTTCCAGAAATTGAGCTGTCAATTAACTTTTATATTTGTTTTAACAGTAAACAAAGGTAATTCTTCACATCTATTTGATATTGTCCGTTTTTTCAACCTGAAAACTCGATGTGGAGTTTTTAATTAATAAATTCATAATTTCTCTGGTTATCAGAAGGAGCGTCAGCTGGGTGAGTTCCGAAGGACGTCGGCTTCCATCATGAGACATCACGACTCTTCTAGATGGAGAGCTTCTAACTCCCAGGGCAGAGATTAAATGGTTAGTTCTCTACGGAATGAGGTCGCTAACTCCATACCCAACCCTGATGCTTTATCCGGGCTTGGGACCTGCGGTAGCCCAAGAGAGACACCAAGCGGAGTAGTAGCTAAGTGAATAACGCGATGTCACTTGAAGCGAATGGTACTGGGTTCGAGTCTCAGAGTGAACATCAACTCTGAGATGCAGGTACATCCAGCTGACGAGTCCCACGTAGGACGAAATTCGCATCATGGATCCCACTGCTAGTCATCATCTATGTAATGTTACTTACTTTAAATTTTATTTGTTTTCTTATTTTAGACTGCTGACACATGTGTTAAACAGGCGTTATTTGACTTCCTCTAAGATAATGACTACTAATGATGTCATTAAATCTTATTATGATACGTTACTAGATAAACAATCTATAAATTCATGGCTTCCATTACCACATCCATGTGTATTCACTTCAAATTGGTCATCACTTCATTTTGATTTAATTAAACATTATCCATTATCTTGTTCACATTTAAAACATACATCTGAATCAAATTCCACATTAGCATTGAAAGAATCTTGTTTAAATATTCATAAACTAGGATCTATGACGAATGAATCCACTTTAAACAATGATCATTATATAGAAGTGAATGAAGATTGTGAAACAGATTCAAATATGAATCAGAATGAAAACAGTACAGTGAGTTACTTTTATGATATTTATAATATAACTTCATCAACTGATAAGCTAAGTAGTTCAAATCAAACAGTATAGAAGTAATTGTTGGATTATGTCAGTATCACCATTTCATTTAGTGTTGAAAATCAAAAAAATTTTTATTGTGAATAGCAAGTTACTGTCAAATTCCTTGTTTAGAACTTTAGTATCGATATGTTCCAAAGAATTTTATGAATAGAAGATTATGATTTTCTTGGCATTCATTACTTATTTACGCCTGTTACTTCTCGTGGAGGAGCATAGGCCGTTCACCACTACTCTCCATCCAACCCTGTCATGGGCAATCGTTTCCAGTTGTTATTCATCCTTTTCATGTCTGCTTTCAATAATCGGTGCAGTGTATTACTTGGCCTTCCTCTTTTTCGTTTCTCTTCAGGATTCCAAGTTACGGCTTGCTTCGTGATACAGTTTGATGATTCTCGTAAAGCTTGTCCAATTCATTCTCATAATCTTTTCCTCATTTCCTCTTCAGAAGGAACCTGGTTTGTTCTCTCTCACAGTAAGAAATTGCTGATGGTATCCGGTCAACGGATATTGAGTATCTTGCGTAGACAACTATTTATAAATACTTGCACCTTCTTGATGATGGTTATAGTAGTTCTCCAAGTTTCAGCTCCATACAGTAGAACTGCCTTGACGTTCGTATTGAACTTTCCAACTTTGATATTGGTTGGCAGTTATTTTAAGTTCCACATGTTTTTCAGTTGTAGTAATACGGCCCTTGCTTTGTCAATTCTCGCCTTTACATCTTCATCAGATCCTCCTTGTTCGTCGATCATGCTACCCAGATACGTGAAGGATCCTACATCTTCTAGAGTTTGGCCATCAAATGGGATTGGATTGGTGTTCTCTGTGATGCATTTTAGGACCTTGGTTTTCCCCTTGCGTGTGTTGAGGCCTACTGATGTATAGGCCGCTGCTACACTATTTGTCTCTATCTGCATTTGTTGTTGTATGGGATATTAAGGCTAAGTCATCTGCGAAGTCCAAACCGTTTAATTAGTTCTGAGCTGTCCATTTATGCCGTGTTTTCCCTCGGATATCGAGGTCTTTATGACCCAGTCTACCGCCAGAAGAAAGAGGAATGGGGAGAGTAGACAGCCTAGTATGAATCCGGTCCTTACTTGGAATGAATCTGTCAGCTGTGCTCCATGCATGACTTTTAAGTGTAGTCCATCGTATGATTTCCGTATGATGTTGAAAATCCTCTCAGGTACTCCATAGTGTGGAAGGAGTTTCCATCATGTTCTGCTATCTACACTGTCAAACGCCTTTTCATAATCAATGAAGTTGATGTACAGTAACGAGTTCCACTCAACTGATTGCTCGACGATTATCCGTAGTGTCGCAATTTGGTTTGTGCAAGACCGATATTTACGGAATTCAGGTAGTGAATGCTTACGCCACTTGAAATAATCTATTTTCTTCAATGAATTATCTCCTTAGATAGTTATGGATTTCTTGAAAGTTTGTTGTTAGTGTCAGTGAAAATTAAATCTGGAGTTTTTGTTTCAACGGATAGTTAATCTCCACTATCAAAACAAGTTAAATATATATTAACTTGATAAGTTTTAAGGATTTATTTTATTTCAAAATGATACAGTTGTATAATGAGTCCAGTAATTGGCAATAAATAGTCTTCAGTCTTCAGTAATAAGGATAGGAGATCTCTCGACCTATACTAATCCTTGCAGTTTGTAATACTGCGGAGGTCCAATTTCGTTTTGAATATATCAACAGAAGGTGCTGATATTACGTGTTCCGGTAGAGAATTCCAATAATTCACTACTCGAAGCGAGAAACGAAACTCCAGGCGTAAATGATTTGATCTCGGTTTTTGAACTTTTTTCGAATGTCTTCTCAATGATCAGTCCTAAACGGAAGTAAAAGATAAGATATGTTAATACCAAGGTCATCGTTCAGTATACGACAAGTGAATATTAGATCACTCCGTATTCTACGGTAAGGTAATCACAACAAGTACAAAATCAAAGCCCTTTTGTGAACGCGCGCTATCAAACAATCATTTAAATATTTATTCAACTGATCGACCAACTTGAATAGCTGAATTCATGAGTCGATATAAGCTAGACCATCATTAAAATCCCGGGACCATTTTTTGATTATGATCATTGTATGATCACTAGTAACTGGCTTAAAAATGTATTTCCTGGAGTTCTAGTGAAAAACCGTGAACAGTGAAAATCAACCGGATCTGTTATAAGAGAGTAACTGATTGAAGACAATAGTGGATGTATCGTTGAATTTCATGGATTAGTTAAAGTTAAATATTAACACTATTGGATGCTAGCAACTTGGTGGTCTAAAGGTTAAGCGTTCGTGGGTGAGATCGATAAGTTTTGAGTTCGAATCTTGCAAGGTGGAATCGTAGATGTGCACAATAGAACAAAATAGCCTTTCAGTACTTCCATATTTTCCATGATGGTTTAGCTTCAATTGACTCATGTTCTATATAATATCTATATAACCTCTGTATGATTATAATATTACTTTTTCCAATATAGAATGAACATCTTAATAAAGAATATGATACTCTACCAGAAATAAAGAAATCAATGTAAGTAAGAACAAACCAATTCATATATTTATATTTGTTTTGTTTCAATTAAATTAGATTATTCATAAGTGATTTGATTTTAATTGATAGAATAAATGAAATATGTATTGGTTTAAATTATCCTCTCGATGAATAGTTTGACTGAAGTTTGATTAATCTTAATTGATATATGGGTATCCTGTATAGATGATCTCAATATAACCGTCAGAATGGATGTTCACTTAGGGATTCAAACTCAATACATCAAATCTAGAATGAAGGTATATCCATCTGACATATCTTAAATAGGATAAAATGAGTTTCCTAGATTCCATTACTAATCACATTCCATCTATTTCACATATCGGCCCCCAAATGCCCTGGTACGGCCGAGAGTGGGGAGAGTCCGCTCTCCCTCTCGAAATGCTCTCACATGCCCATGCGTATATAGCCTCTGTCAAGGAAGTTCTACTCACTGCCTTCTCGTGGCTGGAGTGTTGTTTACAAAAATGAGAAGACGAAAAGCGAATGTCCGGCGCTTTAACCGGATCCCAAACCAATGGTGCACATGGGCTCCAGTATCCTGAAGGAACAAATGGCGTATGAACCAATCGTTGGTCACCGGCTGGCTACCATGGGACTGCATCTCCTTACGATGCTCCACTGTCTTGTGGGTCAGACGTTCAGGTCGAAGGCTCGGGGTGTGGCCCCCTAAGAAAACCACGTGGTTCGGTTTGGGCACCAGGGCAGTACCACAGCCCTCACACAAATCAATTGAGATTTGTGTGGCGCATATGTACTTGGTGCCTCACTGTACCTATACCTATGTGCTAAAATAAATAATAATAAATAAATATTTCACATAAGATTAATGTATTGTAGAGGAATTGAACAGTACCTCTTATGTGAAGGTTAGTAACAAAGCCAAACTACTCAAATAACAGGAAGACTATATCAGAAATATTGAAAATTTAATTATTTGTAAAAGTTTTTCTATGTTTTCTCTTAACTGATGTTAAGGATTGTCACAGGATAGTTTCTTGTAACATATATATATATATTTTTTCAAGCGGTTTGTATCACTAACCACAGTCTAAATTAAGAAACAATTACTTTAATTTACAATACCAAGTGAATTTAAAATTTCACCCCATTTCACAAGCAAGTGGCTATCAGTAGCTAAGTGGATAAAGTGATAGAGTTTGAAATGAAGCATACTAAGTTCGAATCTCAGAGAGAATATCAACTTTGTGTTGCAGATGAATCCATTTGACCAGTCTCGAATAAGACGACACGTGTATTCTGGATTTCATTGCTAGGCAGTATCCACCTTTGCTTATAAAGCTTGTGACTTGAGTCAATATCGAAGCAATACTCACAGGAGGCACATAAGCAAATTATAGAGAGAGAGAGAGAAAGAGACTGATCAATACCAAGTAAATTTAACCTTTACTGCATTGCAAAATCACGTACCTATCAGAACTCAGTATCTAAGTAATGTTTAAACTGATTGTTACTGGGGTTTCGAGTCCCGCAGTGAACATCAACTCCGCGTTTCAGGTAAATTCAGTTAACAAGTCTTAAAGTAGGATGAAACACAAGTAATGGATTTCACTACTAACCACTATCCATCTTTGCTTATAATGCTTGTGACTTGAGTCAAAATCAAAGCAATACTCACAGGATGCACATATGCCAATAAGAGAGTGAGACAGGAAGGAATTGATCAATTGTAATCCTAAACATCAATAGGAAGATTCAAGTAAACAATACCAAGTAGATTTAACCTTTATCGCTTTGCACAATCACGTACCTATCAGAACTCAGTATCTAAGTAATGTTTAAACTGAATGTTACTGGGGTTTTGAGTCCCACAATGAACATCAACTCCTTAATTCAATTCCTTCATTCTTCATTCTTCATTTTCTTTTCATTTCTCTTCTCTTCTCTATCTATAGATTAACAACTAATAAAGGAATAACAAATAATTATATAACAATAAAAAAATTTACAATTCGTGAAACAACAAATTTATTAAAAACTTGGTTAAATAATCATCGTCATAATCCATATCCAACAAAAAATGAAAAAATTAAATTATCTATTATAACTAATTTAAGTTTAACACAAATTTCAACATGGTTTGCTAATGCTAGAAGAAGATTAAAAAAAGAAAATCAAATGACATGGATACCGAAAATACGTCATCATAGGATAGTAACTAATTCTATTCATCTAAATAATAATAATAATAATAATAATAATAATAATATACCGATTTGTCAAAAACAGGGTGGTGATAATAATAAATGGTAATAATAAGGATAATATTGATCAGTTACCAGAAGCTACATCTCAATTAAGATCAACAATCATAAGAGATTGTTTAATTAATCCATTAAATACTAGTCATCCTCATCATCATCACAACAATCATCATCACCACCACCACCATTATCATCATCATCCTTTTCATTTGACATCCTTAAAAAATCAATTAATTTTGAAATATTTTCTAAATAAAACAACCCAGCAACAAGAACAACAACAACAAGAAGTAGAACAACAACAACAACAAGAAGTAGAAGAACAACAACAACAAGAACCAACACCTCCACCACCACCACAACCACAACAACAATGCTTACAATTCAAAGACAATTTAAATAATGATAATGATGATAATGATGATCAGATCAATTTATCTAATGAGAATTCTATAATCAATAATGATCATAGTAACAATTATTATGATTTATGGTATAATAATTATAATACTAAATTAATTCATATGATAAATCAATTAAATTGTGAAAATATTGATCAATATCCATTATTATATGAATCAATATCTAAATTCACTACAAATAATAATAATGATAATAATAGAATAATACGAGATGATCAAACATCACAATTATGTAATACTTCATCAAAAATTTGGTCAGTTGCTGATGTAATCGATGTATAAATAAATCATAGAAGAGTATTGATGTAATGAATAATGCTCTCTTTTCTTTTTTTTTGTTTTTTTTCTTGTTACTTCTGTATCTGGGAGAGTTTGATTACGTAATTTTACTTAAAATCATGCAATGCATAATCATACTGTCAATTGTATTACATTTTATTATTGATTCAATCTGGACAATGTAGTTACATAATCAAATCGATTATTGATTATGATGTAACATTTACTTTCATTAGTGATATATTTAATAATAGATGAAATATTTGTTATAGAATGGTGAAGAGAAACGCTGATGATGACAATAAAAAGAACATAATTTGTAATAGTAAACTTACAATTGTAACTATATGAATAGATTGTATACTTACTTAGTTATTTATTTACCGTGTTGCTTACTTACTTACTCACATACTTTCTTACTCAATTACTTACTTACTTACTTACTCATTTACTTACCTACTTACTTACTTACTTACTTACTTACTTACTTACTTACTTACATACTCCTGTTAATCATAATAGAGAATAGACCGCCGACTAGAATTCTCCAACCCATTCTATCCTGGGCCTTCCTTGGCAAGTTCTATCCAATTCTTTTTCATTCTTTATATGTCTGTCCTCGTTTCTTGGCGTATTTTGTTCTAATCAACTGTAATCATTTTACGGATTTATAGATTGATTTTAAGATATATATATATATATATATATATATATATATATATATATATGATTTGTTTAAAACTATGTAGATTTCTTCATATCCAACATCTAGAAATAGACGAAGTTCTTACTATTCATGAGCTCAAGCTAGAACTATACTTATAAAAGAAGTATATATTCTATCGTTATCATTACCTTGATCTTAATTATGATTACTGCATTTCCCCCTTGACTTATATCTCAAATTCTCATTATTTTATTCATAATTACTTTATTTACACCACTATGACCTTTGGTGACCTTGAATGATTGTAACGAATACATTTTAATCATTTTACTACATTCATGTTATAATTTGTTACTAACTTATTAAGTCTATTGCTTATTATTCGTATTACGTAATCTAGTATTATAATCTTTTTATTACATCATTTTGGTTATTCCTTATTTATACTTTCTCACAGTAATAGTATTGCAACAAAATATTTCCACATATATATTTATACGATTGTACAGCTTGATAGAAAAAATTCATTGAAAATAGATTCCTTCACTGATATTGGTGTTTTTATATTCAATATTAGATATTGTTACAATAGTTGAAGTTAGTTCATCTAATATCTCCAAACATTAAGATGGTGATTAGAGGTAGTCAACAGGGAATCCTAGACTTACCTCCAATTATCATCTTATCTCAACATACTACATGCATGGTCGAGTCATCTAGACTGGTGGTCACATTACAACTTGATTGATAGCATACGATCTACACTAAGAAGAACGTGGCATACATGACAATGAACAACACCTAGTGATTAAACAATTGTAAATCTCCAAATATTATTCATAATTATTATGTAGAAAATATAATGTTTTACTGTAAATCTTCAAATAATCAATCTAATGAGAAGCAGTGACTAGTGGAGAACTATCAGGTCAGGTGTGAGATAGTAACTCATTGAAGACAATGATGAATGTGTCACTGAATTTCATGGATTAGTTGAAGTTAGAAATGAACACCTTAGGATACCGGCCGGCTCAATGGTCTAGAGGTTAAGCACTAATAGGTCTTGGGTTAGAATCACGCGAGGTGGGATCGTGGACACGCACTGCTGACAAATCCCATAGTCTTGAGAGTGTACACTTAATAACCATAACCAAATTAGGTTCATAAACCTGTGTGAGTAATTAGAATTAGAAATTACAGTTAAGGATTAAGGTTAGGAATCAAATTTTGGGGTTTTCATCACGAACTCTATTTAGTTAAATGAGTGAGTGAATTTCGCGCCAAAATCCGAGACCTGTTATCTTATACGTGATTGGTTCATCCATGAATTATAGTCGCGCCATTGGAATGTATTAACTTCAATATTTATAGATAGTTTTTCTTGTCTATGCAAACTATATAATTCCAAATTACACTGTATTGCTTTTTTCGACAGGAGTTTTACATATAAAGTTACTTTTTATGTTCTGAAATCTAAAGATAATTAATTGGAATATTTCTATTATCATGAGTGAACATGTAGTGTGCTACTTATATAAATATGAGTAGTATATAACGAAAGTCAGGATTAGAATGTGAGGCAGCAGAAGCTCAAAAAGATCGAGAAGGAAAGATCGGGAACAGAAATCAGTTGGTATGTTAGTAAAGGAACAATGAAGTCTCAAACAATTGATTAACAATTTGCAAATGAAGTATTCACTGTGTGATGTTCTGTAATTTTGTGCTCAGATACATTCGATTGTCTCCACTTGTATTCTCGTTCAAACGCTATAATTTATGAAAATACATAAATTTAAAAATCTTTTGTCAGACTTTACAACTAGTCACAAGTAGAATTACATAATTTAGTTATAGGGTTCGATATTCAGTCAGAACATTAAAACTAGTAACCGTGTACATGCAGCTGACTAGTCACAAACATAGTACAATCTAAATGCCAGATTGTATTGTTAGCTATAGTTATCAAAATGTTAAATTAAAATTGATTGAGACCATGAATCAATTGACGTCAGAACACCATTGAAACCTGGATGCTCGTTGTTGAGGAATCCCACAATAGGACGAAACGGCTGTTCAGTGCTTCCAGGTTTTCAATGGTGGTCTAAGATCATTTGGTTCATGATCTCAATCAATAACTTAATAATAACCACAGCCCAACACTGGAAATTAAAATGGAATTCTGAATGATACAATATAGTTCAATAATATTTACGTTTATTTTCCTATCATTTAGATACATCACTAAATTGTCCTCTACATTCTGTAATCTAATTCAGTCAGTGTAACATTTTCAAAGTCGTTTCAGCTCATATATGAAGATAAAGAATATAATGACAGCAACAAATTTCAAGTTAAAAGCTGAACACTCATGCTTAAAACCAATATGTATATAATTCGGGCTGGACTATATCAGCTAGAAGAATACGAAAGAGATGCCATGACAAAGTGAATAAATGGTCTGATCACAATCAATCCCTCATGTTTGCATCCGAACTGTCATGAGGCTTAGAGATATTGTGCGAACTGTTTGGTTCTTTTTTGAATATTATCTCGTTTTATTAAAAACAATGTATTCCTCATTAGATTCAACTTCATTAATTGAAGTATGAACACATGGTTCTTCTTATAACAAATTAGGTAGTATGAAATTCTGTTTCATTATACATGACATAAGGCCAGTGAAATGTCACTAAGCCCTATGCAAATCATCCAGCAGTTGGTTTACTGAATATTGAACAAATCATCGATCCCTGTCAAAGTGAAGGACAAAAAATGCGCATCAGTTAATCGTAGGCTATGGACTGGCGCATGCGGTGGTGGTTTCACACTCTTCACAGTACTCATTCTAACTAATACATTTCCATAATAACATTCTTTGCGTAATACGGTCTTCAAAGTGGCCATAGTACATTGATACGTTGAAGGAGTAATCTACATTAGATGCTGACTGCGAGGTGTGACTTCGAAGTTAACTGGTTCGTCACACCATTCCCGTTTAACTCAAGTAGACCTTTAATCATTTGACATGGATCATCTACATTGATGATCTGCAATAAAGTTTGCATTTTAGCTCACAAATATTCATACGAATTAAAGATATTTATTTATCAAAATATGTTAGTACCGTACTGCTAATGCAAGCAACGGTGTCCAATGTCATAGAAGTGGAAAGTTTTCATAACAAACCATGAACTGTTTAACATCATTAACAGATTGTTTCTCAACGTACATCATAATGTATGATGTATTAGTGAGGTGATTGACTTACTGAATACACTTCGAATTTCTGTTTAGTAAAGAAGAAGAATCAGTAGTAATAATAATGGCTAATTCTTTTCTCCTCATTTTGTATCATTCTTAAGGAGTATCACTTATAATTTAGCTGAATTCGAATTTCATATCGTGATTTCCAAAGATCATTAGCAGAAACACGGAATACAACGAACAGCTTGGATGCAGATAGACAATGTCCACGTTGAAGATAACCTAGATTTTTTTTTATCTCATACACGCCAATAAATGCAGATGAAGATGGACACTGTAGCAGTAGCATCTACATAGTGCAGTGTGTGCTATTGATGTCGACAGATATAAGTAGTATGTATCATCAAAAGAAAGTGAAATAGTTGACGGCACAAAATTAATAAGATCGATGAAAAGAGAACAAGAACAGAGAATGATTGGTGTGGAAACGAAAGAAAAATGATGTCTGAGATGATCGAGTGACATTTTGCAGAAGGAATAGTGATGTTTGAGACAATCGATCGACATTTTGCAAATGAAGTATTTACTGTATGGTTCTCAGATTTTACGATGTTCAGTAATTTTGTGCTGACATATGTTCGATTGTCCCCATTTGTGTTCGCGTTCACTATAACAGTGAACTTCAAAATACATAACGGAAAAAGCCAGATCTTTTAATACAACACAGATCACACAAGCTCAATCACACTTGATAGAGAAGCTCTGGAAGGGATGGAATCGTTGAAATATCTAGGCAGCATCATCGATGATCTACGAGGATCTGATGCAGAGGTAAATGCAATGATTAGCAAAGCAATAGTAGCACCCATAGAGTTGGAGAATATATGGAACTAAAAACAACTGTCAACTGTTACGTCCTTGATCTGTCTACCCACTTTTGTGCAGAGGATACTTGTCTAATCTAGATTAAAACATTGACGTGATAGGATAACTGGCTTAACCTTGAGACTAGTATGCGTGAGTTCGAAGTGAGACCTACTGCTTGGGGTAGAGAGCGAAGAAAACTATTCTATCACCTGATTGACTGACAAGCACACGAGTGAGAGAAGGCAAGTCAACTGGAACACTACTGGATTTATTCTCAACTCCAATGAGGTTCCCGATTTCAGATTAGTGTAAAAAGATACATGAAAAAATAGATGACTAACCTGATCACAACGTACAATAATTAGGAAAATACAATTATGTCCCAAAACTGGCGATTAGCGTAGAAAATACAATACAAAATATTACGTTTAAAATACAATAGCTTTGGAACACAAAGGGCTATGACAGTGAATCATACATCAGACGAAAGCTTATAATTTGTAGAATAGACTAGGTACGAAAATAAATGTTAATGTATTACAAGCTTTGAATTAAATGAAATAACACCCCCCGAAAATAGCTTCCGTAGTTTGTCAAGGCTTTTATATTCTCTGTTCATATCATCAATCAACATCAAAGTCAGAATCTTCAATACAAACGACAAGATTAGTCTACTGTACAGATTTGAATCTTGGAGAACCACTATAACTTTCATCAAGAACGTTCAAGTCTTTATAAATAAT